GATAAAATCTGAGGTTTTTTTTTTTTTTCTTTGTAAATTTTTTTCCTAAGTTTATGGCACAGGGTACACCTTAAGTATTTCTCCTCCATCCTCCACTTGGATCCTCAAGTTGTACTGAATTCTAGTCGTACCTTACATCAGCAAGTTAAAGAGAGTACTTTAAAGCAGGAGACTGTTGCTCAACCATCAGGAAACAGTTGTAGTCAGAAGACATCATTGGTCCTGTGTTTCCTACGGAAATAAGAAACAATAAATGTTGCACTGAATGTTTGTGGTTTGGAGTCCCTAAATGATTAAGAGGGAACATATTTGCAGAAAGTTGCGTGGGATTTTTTATGCAGATTTTTGTCAGAAGACAATGGCGCTGCATGTTTTTCTTTGAGTGCAAATGTACATTGCTAAGATTTTTTTTTAAGATGGCATGTGCTTTGAAAAGAGGAAATTGCATTTTTAAGAGTTTAAAAATCTTATGAGTGAGAAATATAAGAAATCTTACTTATTTTCACCTCTTTAGAAAAAATAAAAGATGTTTCTCATATCTCCTTTTCTCGAGTATCTGACTGTTACTGTCCTTGGCGAATCGATAATCATTGCATAGTGACTAAAAAGCCTAAATGGCAAAAGAAAAAAAAAAGTTTCATTCTTGTTTCTGGAATCATGCCATATTTTGTTCCTAATAGGATCAACTCACTGTTTATCTAGATTTTAGATGTCTTGTATTAAAAATTACAGAAAAAAGTAAAACTTTTTTATAGATACTCCTTTAACTATTAAGACATCTTACGGATCTCACATGTTATATTTACGTGGGTGGGCTACTCTTAAAGCCATTGTAAGCTCGTTTTATTTTTTTTCTTCTGTTATTTAAAAAAAACTTTTTTTTTTAAATTTTTTTTTAACATTTATTTATTTTTGAGACAGAGAGAGACAGAGCATGAGCAGGGGAGGGGCAGAGAGAGAGGGAGACACAGAATTTGAAACAGGCTCCAGGCTCTGAGCTGTCAGCCCAGAGCCCGATGCGGGACTCGAACTCACAGACCGCGAGATCGTGACCTGAGCCAAAGTTGGACGCCCAACCGACTGAGCCACCCAGGCGCCCCAAAAGAAACTTTTTTATTGAAGTGTAGTTGACCTACAATGTTATATTAGTTTCAGGTTTATAGTATAGGGATTCTGCAACTCTACATGTTACGCTATTTGTTCACCACAAGTGTAGCTACCGTCTGTCACCATTTATTACAGTACCATTGACTATTCCGTATGCTGTACCTTTCATCCTTGTGGCTGATTGATTCCGTAACTGGAAATCCTGATTATCTTTCATATAATGGCTACAGCAGGTCAAAAACCTGGACATTGAACTAGTAAAAGAAAAGGGGCAACATCCCTTTTGGCTTCAGTCTTCCCATCTCTCCTTCAGATCAATATAGTAATGGTGTAATCCCTTAAACCTTACAGTTTTACAAAGTGCTTTTCAAGTGTATTATCACTACAGCTACTCTAAGCAATAACAATGGAGCAGGTAGAAAAATGTTTGAAATAGAAGAGTATGTCCGTTGGGAAAGGCAGGTATAAACAAATAAAATGCTCTGTTAAAAATTAAGTGATAAATGTAGCGGAGACTGAAGAAAGAAACCATTTTGGAGAACTGGGTAGGCTTTACTAAATATTGAATAGAGAAAAGCATGATAAAAGTGTGAGGCCTTGGAACGACCCCAGTGTGTTTGTTAGATTGGAGGGTTGAGAGTGACAAGTAAGTGACTGGGATAATCAGTTTAAATCAAGTTGCAAATAGCTTTGTATGCCAAGGTTAGAAATTCAGACCTTATCCATTCGGCATGGGTTATGTCAGAGAAAACTGAGTAAGTTGTTTTTATGAGAGTCTGGGTTGGTTGGTCTATAGATAAAAAGTCTGGCAGTTAGGAAGGCCAAACCTAAAAGGCCTTTGGAACAATCCAGACTGGAAACTATGTCCAAATTATAGTGTAGTTCTGGTAAATAGGAGGGGTTGGGTAAAGACATCTAATGTATGTGACCAAGTCTCACAGGAAATAAAGGATTTAAGGGCGATTTCACCAGAGTTAACGGTCAATTTCATGTCTAGCTTGCATTTAAAGTATTTGATACTTGGGGGCGCCTGGGCAGCTCGGTTGGTTATACATCCAGTTCTTTGATTTCATCACAGGTCATTACCTCATAGTTTGTGGGATCAAGCCCCACATCAGGCTCTGCACTGACAACACAGAGCCTGCTTGGTATTCTCTTTCTGTCTCGCTCGCTTGCTCTCGCGCTCTCTCTCTGTCTTGCTCTCTGCCCCTCCCCCACTCACATTCTCTCTCTCAAAAAAAATAAACATTAAAAAAATAAAAATAATAAAGTATTTGATCTTTGGACTCTTTTCAGAGTGAATCTTGGCAGCTGTTTAGCCCTATTATTTTCCTACCTTCCCATTGTGGAAAACGATAATACCTTTCCTGCTATATCACACTTCATTCCCACAATAACCAGTGAAGCAGGTAGGTGCTACAGGTTATTTTACAAATTAGAAATGGTTTAGATGTTATGTAATTTACCCAGATACACACAGCCAATAAGTGGCAGAGCTGGGATTTGCCCCAAACTGCAAGCTGCAAGTCCCTTAGGGATAAGATGCTTGTGAAGTTGGAAGCTTTTATTCCCCAACCCACAGCTCCATTGATTAGTTTTTCTTATGACTGACCTGCTATTCCTGCCTCTCTGATTCTATTCTGCATTGCTTTTCTGGCAAATCATAGTACGGAGTTAGTCTGCCTGATGGGTCCAGAGGACTGCAAAATGTAATACAGCACGCCCTGCTTTAGGAGAATGAGTTTCTCCCTGAGAGAAGCAGGAAGTCAGTAGTACTAGTCTGCTTTGGACTTACACTGCAAAATGAATAGCTACATTGTGACCCCCACCTCAGTCTGAAAAATTAAAAGAATGCTTTAACATCTGTACTAGAAAGGTAGCCCACTCATCCAGGGGGAGAGTTGAGTCCAGAAAGTGATTTCCTGTACATGTGTGTGTGTGTGTGTGTGTGTGTGTGTGTGTGTGTGTGTATACACACACACACACACACACACACACACACACACACACCTGGAGTTGACAGTGGCCCTGGGATGGAAAGCTGCCTATTTTAAACTTAGATTTGCTGTCTCCAGTGTCAAGACTTGCACGAGATTCCTCAGTGCATTACCTCTGCCCTTTCCCAGTTTAGCTTCTTGAAGACTCAGCTGTTCTCCTAGTTCCTGAGGCCAAGGAAACCCAAGTTATTTTCAGCTCTTAAACTGTCCAGAGTTGGAGGATTGGTTCAGGGGTGATCAGCCTTAGTTTGTAGTCCATATTGCTTGAGGATATTAAAGTCCCCGAAAAGGCTTAAGAATTCCGACTTTGTAACCACAGAATCCTGTGTTCATAGTCTTCCGTGGAATTCCTAATACAACAAATGTGGACTTGCACCTATTGAGATAGAGCCACAGATCCAGCTTCTCTCTCCATGCACTGCCCACCCAGCAGTACACTAAGAATACAGCCTGAAAAACGTTATTTTCTCTCTGGCCACCTGGTAACCTGCTGTGTTTATTGGGGTGGGTGATAATAAGAACAGACAAGTTAAAGATAAATTCTGGCTTAACTTTTAAATTTTACATTTCTGTAGTCATAGAAATAAGCAAGTAGCAAGATGGTACTTAAACCCAACCTATTAGCAATTACATTAAATGTAAACTCACTGAACTCTTTAAAAGACAAAGATTTTGTCAGAATGGATTAAAAAACAAGCCTCAGCTATACACTAGTTATAATCACAGAAATGATTATATAAATCACTTAGCTCACTGGACTTGCCCACTCAACAAGTATCAAATTCAGGTTCACTAGGTATTAGAGTTCAAAGTCCTTTATTACTCAAATTTATTTCTCTCATTCTAGCAGCTGTCTGGTGAACAGAGCCATAATTTTTTAAGGGCCGAATAGCACTGAAGTATATAAGATAGAAGATGGTTCTGTACCTTTACCCCCAAATCTCACTCTGCTGAGAGTGCTTTTTCTTAGGGACATTTTTCTATGCACTTAATTATTTTTCTAACCTACAACCTGAGATATTTCCGGCAAGAGATATCTGTGTGTACATGCATGCCCTTTAAGGTAAACCTTGACAGTCTCATCTTACAGAATCCATTCATGGTCCTAATTCTGTAAGCCAAATTTTTGTGAATTATGGTCCTATCCATTAGTGGGCTATTTCTGGCACCTGGTTATCCATAAGAAGAGGCTATGCCTGACCCGAATACAAAAATTCTTTGGGCTTTACATGTGCAATCAAGATCCTTATCACCAAGAACATTTACACCCACAGATACAGGGAGGAGAGAAAGAGTGTTCCCATAGGCCTAACCGGGATTGAACCTCATGAACAGTAGAGACATATTCTAGCAGAGGTGTTAGAACAGACTTTGGTGGACTTGCATAGTTCACTAGCTGTGGGACCTTGAACAATTTAATTTGTACCTCCATTTTTTCATCTGTAAAATGGGCATTATAGTAGTACTTCATTGATTAGGTGATTGTGAGGATAATGGATAACGGTCCTAGAATTGGGCTCCTTAACAATAAAATACTAATAATCATAAAATAAAAATAAGAGGTTGGGCCCAAACTTGAGGGAAAAAAAAAAATTTATCAGGAGAGCAACCTTGAAACTTGATTCAGTAGGTGTAAAGGGTTTCTCTGCGAAACAAGGTCACTAACAGGCTTCAGTGAACATATCCACAGAGCTAAATATGGTTATTTGACATCTCAACAATTCTAGCTTAGGCAAGAGAGAATTTCTTTCAAAGCATAATAGTGATCCATTTTCTGTTCTACATGAATAGAAAGG